TTTTGATTGGTGAATTGAGGCCATTAACATTGATAGCTATAACTGATATGTACTGACTTATCATCGTCATATTATTTTCCTGTTGTTGGCTCTTTTTTATTTTTCCCCCTCCCTTTAATTTCTTGCCTTGTCTGCCGGATTTTCTCTGTTGGGCCTCATGGATTTGTGATCTTCATTGTCTTTTTCTAGGATATTATTTAGAATTGTTTGGAGTGTTGGTTTGGTATTCATGAAGTTTCTTAAGTGTTCTTTGTCATGGAAGCATCTTATTTCCCATCAATTTTGAAAGATAGTTTTGCAGGATACATCAGTCTAGGTTGGAGGTTATTTTCTTTTAGGGTTTGAAATACCTCACTCCAGGCTCTCCTTGACTTGAGGGTTTGTGTTGAAAAGTCTGTGGTGATTGTGATGGGCTTTCCTTTGCATATGATTTGTTTCTTTTCTCTAATTGCTTGCAGTATTTTGCTCTTCTGTTGCGTTTCTGGGATCTTATATGTCTATGTGTAGATTTTTTTTTTTAATCATGGATATTTGGAGTCCTATATGCCTCAATGATCTGCATGTCAAATTCTTTTGCTCTGTTTGGGAAGTTTTCTGTCATTAATTCTGTATATGCTTTTAAAATGTCATTTGTGAAAAAGTCATTTGTGCTTTCTTTTACTTTTTCATAGACTCTTATCAGTCTTATTCTTCATTGTGTCATCTAGGAGTAGTTGGATTGATTTCTCATGTTCCTTTATTAGTTTCAAGAGATCCCTCTTTTCATGGTCACTGACCACCATCCTGTCTTCTGTATCTGATATTCTGTTTTCAGATTGGTTCAGTCTGTTATGTATACTTTCAGTAGAGTGTTTAATCTCCTGGTATCAGTTTGAATCTGTTTCATGGACTCCATTTCTTTCCTATGTTGGGCATTCATGGTTTCCATCTTTCCTATGTTGGGCATTCATGGCTTCTATCATGGTCCTGAACTCATGTATTTTTTAAATGTTTTGGTTCAGGAGTCTCTAGATTCTTTCATTCTGCTTACCATCTCTGCAGTTATCTGGGAAATTATTTCTGTCTTGAATTTTTCTAGAGCCTCATTCATCTGTTTTGTTACTTCCTGTGTTATCAGTTCAGGGTGTCCAGGTGGTTGATTATCAGTCTTTTCCACCTCATTCACACAAAATTTGCCTTTGCTGAGCTGGCAGCCTGTGTTTGTGCTTGTGCCTTGCTTGAATGTCTTCTCGTTTTTATTTTTGTTGCTGGTACTGTCGTTGCTTTAATTCCTGGATTAATATTTCAATCTTCCTGTTATAGCTTGTCTTTAGGTTTTCAGTCTCTAATGATTCTGAGGCAATCTCTTTTTCATTATACCAGGAAAGAAAACTGATTAGATCACTCACAATACCTTAGACCAAGTGAAACAATCAGCAACACAGCAGCATCAAGCACAGCTTAGAAAAATGACAATTTGTGGTAATTATGAATCTATCACCTTTAACTGTGAATTAAATAAAAATCGAGGCTGGAGCTCAGGACAATGGCCCCTCTGTGCCTCTATGGTGTGATTTCCAATACCAGCACAGCCAGGATGCCAGAGGTTGTGGGGGGCAGTGGGGGGGTGCTGGTACCTGCAAGGCTCTGCCTCTCACCCATCCACCGAGAGGCCTGAGGGTGGGGTGGGGAAGCAGGCCAGCTCTGTGTGGCTCTGTCTCTCACTCGTGTGCTGCTGCTGCTGAGCTGCTTTTATATTTTTGGGGGTTGCGGGGAGGTTTGAGACAGGGTCTTACTATGTAGTTGAGATTGTCCTGGAACTCACTATGTAGCCCAGACTGGTCTTGAACTCACAGCGCTCCTCCTGCCTCAGCTTCCTAAGTGCTGGGATCACAGGCATGTGCCATCACGCCTGGCTTGCTTTTATCTTTTTTTATCTTGTTTTGCTCAAGTTTGCTCTGCAGAGCTGGTGTCTCCTATACCCCCTTCACCTCACATTTTTCAAGTAAATTTTTGGCACCAGTTTTGGCTTGTCTAGTTCAATTCTTTGTTCCAGGCAAGAAGGACCTGGAATACTTTTGATTGGTAAAACATTTCTAATGGAATGACCTGTAACAGGATGGTCTTGAACTCCTGTGCCTCCTGTCTTATCCACTGCTTCGGAAAGAGAATTTCACTGCCCCTAGTTCTAGCTTTAGGTGTTTCCTGTCCTCCTTCCCATGCCAACCCTCCCCAACTTGCTCTGGGTTCCACCCAGCAAACCTCAGTGCCTGGGGCACAGGGCTGGAGGTGCTGAGTAGGGCTCCTCTCTGCAGCAAGCGGGGCTGTTGCAAAAGTTCACCCTGCATTCTGGCTTCTGTTAAGGAGAACAGAATGCTTGGGCCTGAGAAGCTCACACTTGAGATCTTGAATGTGGTTTCCACAGAGAGGGGGAAAGACTTGGTAAAACACTCAATATTGAATTTTATTGGTTTGTCTTTAGAAACATTTAAATATGTATTGAATATACTGGGGGGAAGAGGGGATTTTTCTCTGATCTGAATATTGTGCATGTCTGGGATGAAAGTTGCTTCTCACCAGGCATTGCCCTTCCTAGAGATCTAACTTCACAATTGATGAATTATAATTACATGGACTGGTTCCTGAGCTGGGTTCCTCTCAAGGAGAAGCTTTTGCTTTCAGTCAGCTGCAAAGTCTTCTATAGAGAACAGGCCTTACCCACTGTACATGCATGCAATGGATCCCACACCTACAAAGTAAGCCTAAGAAATACAGCTGCATATATACCCCTTTCCCCAGTCATGTTAAAGAAATTTACTGTACTATATATATATATTCTCCTCAATTTTTGCTACACCAGAGGTAAAATAAGAAATCTTGAAGAATGCACCAATTGCTGGGTGTGGTGGTACACACCAGCACTTGGGAGGCTGTGGCAAGAGGACTACCATGAGTTCGAGGCCAGCCTGGGCAATATAGTGAGTTCAAGGCCAGGCTCACCTACATAGCAAGATTCATAGCAATGAATCTAAATGCTATTAAAAAAGGGGAGGGGCCAGGTGTGGTGGTGAATGCCTGCGATCCCAGCACTCGAGAGGCTGAGGCAGGAGGATCACTATACATTTGAGACCAGTATGGGCTACATAGTGAGTTCCAGGTCAGTCTCAACTACATAGTGACCCTGTCTCAAAAAAACAAAAACCAAAAAAAAGGCGGGGGGGTGATGGTACAGGACAGGGGATTTAGCTCAGTGGTTCTGCTGCCTGCCTTGCAAGCGCAGGTCCCAAGTTTGATCCCTGGTACAAAAAAAAAAAAAAAAAAAAAAAAAAAAAAATTTTTTAAAAAAAAAAAAAAAAAAAAAAAAAAAAAAAAAAAAGTGGAGGGGGGAGGTGAAAAAAAGAATTGAGATGTGTTATGTACATGTACTAATTTCCCACAATGAATGTAATCATTATGCATTGCAAATGTACTAATACAAATTGAAAAGGTAAATTTAAAAAAGAAAGAACCAGCTGGGCATGTTGATGTATGTTCTATTATTGCAGCACCATGGGAGGCTAAGGCAGGAGGATCACAATTTTGAGCCCAGCCTGAGCAACTCAGTGAGACTGTCTCAAATTTTTTAAAGTCCTAACAAAAAAGGTTTGGTTGGGCAGGGTGACACACACCTGTAATCCTAGCACTTGGCTGGCTCAAGCAGGAGGATTGCTGTGGGTTTGATGCTAGCCTGGGCTACATGTTGAGCCTCAACTACATAGTGAGACCCTGTCTCAAAAAACAAACAAACAAAAAGGCTCAGTAGCACAAAAAGACACCGATTAGGGCAATGGCACAAGCAGTATGCCTAAATTTGGAGGTAGTTGAAGCATAGTATGCATTGGGTAATTGTATGGTTCCTAGAAGTGAGACCTTATTTTACAATGTAAAATCAGTAGAGCCTCTGGAAACAATCTCTGTAATGGTATTTGATATTCACACATTTCTTTTTCTTTTTTTCGAGACAAGGTCTCACTATATAATCCAGGCTGGCCTTGAACTCTGGATGATCCTCCTCCCTCAGTCTCCCGAGTGCTGGGATTACAGGGGTGCACCACCACATCCAACAACATTTCTCAATATAGTTTTGCTAAAGAATAAAGCTCATAGATGAATAAAATGTTTGGGAAAGGTAGCCATAAAAATCAATGAAATACATGCCTGGGCAAGAGCTCCAGTAATATTTATATACTGAATCACTAAGGCTGAATGTTGTCAATTTTTACTATTTCTTACAGTGAAACAAAAACATAAATCCTATGAAGAATCAACAGGCATGTTTAGCTTTGGTTTTTTTTGTTTGTTAGTTTTTTGGGTTTTTTTTTTTTTTTAGTTTATTGGTACATTTTAGGCATACAGTACAGTTACATTCATCATTGGATCTTGTACCTTTACATGACAGGTCTTGGTTCTCATTTTTTTCCCCTTGTCTCTGCCCTCCCTTTACCCACTCCTCCCCTCCCCATTTACAAATACTTTATTTCCATTTTTTCATTTTCTCATTTTTTTTCCCTTATTACCTTTCCCCTGCCCTTCCCACTTTCCCTACAGCTTTGCTTTTGGCAAATAGGCATTTAAACACTTCATGAAGCTAAGAGCCAGAAAATAGTACAGAAGGTAATTATGCTTTAGAAATAACTTTATTTAGAATTCTCCTAAAATTTATCCAGACACCTACTAAATTTCTCTTAAAACAGTTCAAATACCTACTTTTAGGAGAAAGAAACTTTGAGGAAAAGCATAAGTTGAAACTTTTTTAATTTCAGAAACCACACTAGCCTCCCCTACATCAAAGCAATGAAGAGTTCACTGCTGGGTTCGCCTTGTGAAAACAATGGCCAGTCCGACGGGTACTGACTGTCAAAATACGTAACTTCAGAGCACAAAGGTGTGCACTAAGGCTTAGCTGATACCTCCAAGAGTTACAGCTGAACTAAGATAATGAAAAATAGTGTTAAAGTCAAAGGAAAGTAAAGCTCTCTTGCCTGTTTCCTCAAGAGCAGCTGTGATGAGCCCCAACTGCGGTTCTGCTTAGCTTCTGTGAGCATCAACGTACACTGTCCACATCACCTGCTTTAGTTTGTTTGGGCCCAAGAATTTTTGCTCCAGGATTTCTCGTGCATGATCTACAAAAGACAATAATGACTGCACATTAACTCAAAATAATCGAAGATATTTATATTTCCACTTGTAAATGGGATAATTATTGTTGCACAGTTAAAGAATTAACTTAATACACACACTTGATCTTAGCCAAAAGGCCAAGAAGCAATAACATGATGTATGAAGTGTAACGTATAACCAAATAACCCACTAGTAATTAATTAATGGAAGCCCTCACTATTAGACACATATCGCAACATTTTTAAGGTGCAACATGTGTTGTTTTCTCTGAAATTTATCACAATTTCACCAACCAGAGAATCATGATTTGCCTAATGTTTTCCAGGTCCTTGCAGGACATGGATGATGCAGAGGTGCTGATGGACGGGCCTGCAGGGGACTCGCACAGCAGTGGGCAGGACAGGAAGCCAGCAGCTCTCCTGAGACCCTGGAGGCACTAGCCCGCGGGGCGCGGCAGGTAGGGGGGTGACAGGGATGGAGCTGTCCTGGAGTGTGGTAAGTTGGCCCATAGTCGCACATTTCTCATCTCCGTGTAATACTCTTCTACAGCAGAGGTTTTGGTGGGTGACCACTATGTGAACACATTCAATTTTGAGCAATCAATATTATCGGCCATTTAGATGGTTTTACAGTTTTCACAAGGAATAGCAGTGATTTTTATATGGTGCCCCTCCCTCTCTTCTTAGAATGTGCTTTAAAAATCTGAATTAAGGAGTCAGGGATGCATCTCAGCAGAATGCAGGCCTGGCATGCACGTGGTCCCCTGGGTTCACTGTCAGTACTGGAAAAATATCTGAATTAAAGCCAAAATCTTGGTAACATATTGCTTCATTGAGTAGCTGTGCTGGAGGCTACATGTGCTGCTGTGAAGCCTAGAGGAGCTGCTGGTGCGTGTGTACCTGGGTGGGCTCTGAAGTTTCCAGGCTGGCGGTGGGTCCAGTAGGAGGCGCGCGGTCTTGGTGGTCAGTGGGGTCCTGGTAGTGGCACCACCATCCATCTGTCCAGTCCTCTCCTGTAATGGCCACGGCCTACACTGGAGACTCCTGCACAGGCCATGTAGTCACTGACCACCATCCTGTCTTCTATATCTGATATTTTGTCTTCAGATTGGCTCAGGGGAAACCACTTGGTCTTTTCAGCCATGGACAGAGGCAGTTTTGACAAAATCTCTAAGTGTCAGAGGCAGATTCTCAGTGCAAAGGACGGTGATGAGTTTCTAATGATTTTAGTTGGTGATAAGTGGAGCTGGATCATCAAAGGCCAGTGACACGGGGAGGGCAGCAATGAGCAGCATGCTGGCTATACACAGAGGTGGTGCAGAGATGAAGGTGAATGTAGGTCAAGCTTTCACCAACTCGTTCAGGTTACAGGAAAATCTCCCACAGCTCACATGGAAAGAAGGTGACAGGAGACTGGCACTGGCTTACTTCCTAAGCCAACCACAGTTTTAGCGACCGATGGCAGGGAAGCCCTCATCTCCTCCTCCCTGTAGTCCCTGCAGCCTTGGACAGTGGGCACTATCCTAGCCACAGACCAGTGAGCCGACAAATCCTTCCCATGAAGTCAGACTACGGTCCTTTCCAGAGTGAGTCAAAGGAAACACTGGGGCGACTTCAGAGATGGTCTGAGTCCTTGAGAATGCCGCCCATATACAGACACATTATTTTTTCTTTTTCTTTCTTTCTTTCGATACTGGGGATCAAACTTGGGCCTTGTGCTTCTGAGGCAGGTGTGGCACTGCTCCACTAAATCCTGGCCCAATACACATTCTTTTTTAAAGGCTTGCATGCTATGTTATTAAGTACGAATCAGTTTGGCAAATGAAGTTTTGCACCAAGAGGAAGTCACAGGTTGTGAAATACTTTCTAAATTCTGGAATCACACTGTCTGTTGTTACTTCAAATGGAAACAGAAAACTTTTTTAAAATGTGAAATTTGCCTATCCTTAAAACTTTAAGTATGCTCACTGGAATCTACAAAAGTGAGATAGCTCAGACTTCCTGATGCTACAGCTTTTCTTTTTCCAGTGGCCAAAAATACCAAGATGTCTGTTGTGTTTCAGGATTAAGAACTACTTATGAAGCCTTTGTTATTTACATTTTTTTGTAAGCATGACATATATTCCCTACGTACAGCCTGTGTGGTGGGTGTGGCACATCTCCAACCTAGCCATGGAAACTCTTTAGTTCAGTGCCTCTGAAAGATACAGATTTCATTAGCCAGTAAAAATAACAAAATGGGCTCAACACAGATGGTTACTAAATTTTATTTTAAGCAAGTACTGGCAATTATTACAAGCAAAAGAGCTAGAGAGTATATAGAAGTGAAAGTTATCATTATTTAACAAAGATTTAAATCATTTTTTTAAAGCAACTAGTATGAGAACAAAGGCTCACTGATGTTGATAAGAATATCACTGGTTATCACAGTGGAAATCTGGTGCTCAGGAAATTCTTTTTTTTTTGAGACAGGGTCTCACTATGTAGTTGAGACTGACCTGGAACTCACTATGTAATCCAGGCTGGCCTCAAACTCACAGTGATCCTCCTGCCTCAGTCTCCCCAGTGCTGGGATTACAGGCGTGTACCACCACACCCAGCAGGAAATCTTGATTAAACACAGATTTCAGGCAGAGTGATAGAAGGCTCATGGTAGAGCACATGCCTAACCCATGCAAGGCCCTGGGTTCAACCTCCATTTCATGTGCATGCCCCCCTAAAAAAACTCCAAGTCAAAAAATCAAATAGGCTGAAAGCAAAAAAAGAGGACAAAGACACAACGCAAACGACCACCATAGGAAAGCTGGAGTAGCTACCCTGAGAGAACAGAAGGACATTTCCCAGCTCATTCTGTGAGGCCAGTATTATCCTGACCTCAAATTCAAAGACACCACAAAAAAGAGAGCAACAGATGCACAGACTAAAAACAGTAATCAAAACATTAGTGCACCACACCCACAGCTATAGAAAGGATCATACTGCTGGATCAACTGGGATTTACCCCAAGAATGCAAAACTGGGGTAAACATTTGAAAGTCAATCCATGCAGTCCACTGTGTCCCTTTCCTATTGCTGTAGGAACAGGTATTAATTTAGTGGTTTAAAATGGCATGTTTATTTATTATTATTGTTCATGTTGTTGTTGAGATGGGGGTCTCACTACGTAGTTCAGGCTGGCCCTGAACTCATTTTACAGCCCAGGCTGGCCTCAAACTTGTGGCGATCCTCCTGCCTCGTCCTCCTGAGTGCTGGCATTATAGGTGTGAGCCACCATGCCCTGAGGTTTTGAAGGACAGAGTTTCCAGATGGGTCTCACGAGGCAAGATCAGGGTTGGATAGGTCTTCATCTCCTTTTGAAAGCTCTGCAGGAGAATCCACTTGACTCTTTCCACTCTAGACACTACCACCTTCCTCCACTCCCATGTATGCAAAATGAGCAGCATTTGGAGGTGCCCCTCATGCACTGTTATCTCTGTGATCCTCCCTCTCCCTCTTTCATTCATAAAGATCCTTGTGATCACTCCTGCCCCACTGAGTCAGACGAGGGCAGCCTCTCTATGCTCAGGTCTGGGCTGGCTGGTGTAGCTCAGTGCTCAAGGGCTTGCCTACAGTGGAAGGCCCCAGGTTTGACCAGTAGACACACATACACTCACCACCCACCATATTAGCAACTTTAAGTCCACCTACAGCTTTATAATGTAGCATCCTCACAGGCTCTGGGTATTAACACTTGGTTATCTTCAGGTGGAGGCACTGGTCTGCCTACCACCTCTACTGGATCAATAAAAGGAAGGACCAAGCCTCACAATCCACTTGACAGAAAAAAACATTTCACAAAATCCAACACACGTGCTACTGCCATTCAACAAACTCCTCCACCTGCTAAAAGCCCACAGCTCACATAAGAACAGTGAACGCTGAGTGTCTCCTCTGGGCTGAAGGAACACAAGTTTACCCTGACACTGGTGCTCAGCCCTGTGCTACAGTTCCTGGTGTAGACAGGAAAAAGAAATCGCAGGCATTCTCATTAGGAGGAAGAAGTAAGACTATCCTTATTTGTTTTGTTTTGTTTTGTTTTGTTTGAGACAGGGTCTCACTGTGTAGTTGAGACTGACCAGGAACTCACTATGTAGCCCAGCCTTGTCTCAAACTCAGTGATCCTCCTGCCTCAGCCTCCTTTGCTGGGATTACAGGTGAGTGCCACCACATCCGGCTATCCTTACTTATAAATGACCATAATATTATATGTGGACTATGCCCAGGAATCCACTAAAATATTAAAACTAAGACCATCAGCAGGCTGGCAAGGCACAGGATCAACATGCAATCACCTAATATATTTCTATACACCGTCAACAAATAACCCAAAATGAAATTAAGAAAATAGTTGCACACATATTACTGTCAGAAAGAGCACAAAGGAATAAACTGAACAAAAGTAAGTATGTGTGCTCCAAAAACCACAAAACGTTGTTGAAAGAAATAAAAAAATCTACATAAAAAGCAAAACAACCATGTGCTAGGTTTGGTGATGCACAACTGTAATCCAAGCTACTCAGAAGGCTGAGGCAGGAGGATAACAAGTTCAAGAACAAGACCCCATCTCAAAAAATTCAGAAAAAAGGGTTGAAGACAGAGCACAAGGTGAAGGCCCTGGGTTAAAGCCCTGTTCCACACACACATGCACATGATATCCATGTTCACAGATCAGGAGACCTACTAGGTATGATAGAAAGTACAGTATTTAAGTTAAAAATTTTATTATGGCAACAGACACACTGCCACTAACCCATGTCCAGCACATTCACTGAAACGTTGTTGCCACTTTCTGAAGCAATTCTGCAAGTCTTCTGCAAGCATCATCATTGTGCTATTATAGCTGCCTCCACCTTCTCAACCCATTAAAAATGTTTCCCTTTCACTGGCAGTCTGACTTTGAGGAAAAGCCAGAGAGAACTAATCAGTGCAGATCCAGTGAACAGGCTGGATGAGGACACGTTGTT